AGGGTGAGTCAAGATCAGAAATAGGGTAGCGGACATAGTTTTCTACTTCCCTGAGGGACGATGCCATTTTATGAGTCCCATTGGCACTGCTCTTTCCCAACTCTTAATGGTGATGATGTCTAATCCTTGGGTTGCTTTTAGTTAGTGGGGCTCGCTGCACACAGAGGTGAGGAGAATTCTGCAAAGAATTGGAAGGGAAAAATTTAAGACAATGTGCCATGGCAATACCCTGCTCCACTAGGGTGTCGAGTGAGTGACTTTTAATGTTTTCACCCTCACTCTGTTTGTCACCATTTTCCTTCTCATAAATCCAACACTCTGGTACCAGGTTTCCTTGGCTTTAACAATAAAATGGGAAATGACTTTTGTTAAATTCTGTGTTCATTGCCGCTTGAAAACAGTGGGCATTTGGAGATGTAGTGAAGGTGGCATCTTAGCGGGCTCCAACATTAAAGATTTTGGTATGGGACCATTGGGCTTGTCTCATTTCGGTCTCCCCGTGGGCCTCTCAGATTACCTGGCAGCACATTTGCTCACTCTAGGACAAGAGAAAATATTCTTTTGGTAAACAAAGCCCAGCCAACTAAAGCTCTTTCTTTAGAGATCTACCTGGGCCCAGGGGACTTCCTCTTTTTATGACCCAGATTGGTGCCTGGCCAAGGACCCAGGAAACCCCCTGAAGATGTGCAGCTCTTGAGCCCAGCTGTATTCTTAATGAAAGACAAGAAACTCTACTTTTCTCACAACCCCAAAACTCTACTTTTCCCACACCGAAGGCTGCTTTTAGCTTAAGATAGTCGCCCCTTTCTTGGTATGGAAATGTGAATATCTACTATTCATTAGTTGGCACAGAAAAGCCAGCATCCTTGTAGTTAAGCCAGGCAAATTTCCATTTGTAAATTCTCCTCAAAATCACGGAGATTTGGTTACTTCTGATTGTCACGTGCCTGGTGGGGGCTGAAAGCTTCTGGGTCCAGTGTGGCCGAGCTCACTCCTAGGACTCACCAGAGACCCTCCGGCCCATAACGCCAGGTGCTTTGATAAGGATGTTAGAAGCACCTTAGGCTCCTTAGATTGTATTTACTCATCTGCAAATGAGATGTGCTCTGATTTCCCTTGTCTTCTAAGTTAAAAATGGCAGTTTTGACCTTGTGACTCTTTAGTTTCTGAGTGAGAAAGTTCGGTTCTGAGTGGCTGCTCTCATATCTCTGGACACATGTAGGGCATCGAGAATGTCCCGCGGGAATGAGTCCGAATTTTTTCTTTTCAAGCTAGCCGGTTTTGTCAATCTGGAGAATGCTCTCAGACTGGAGCATGGGCCTGCAATAATGCCACTGCCTTAGTTAGCCATGAGTCCATGCCAGGAATTGAGGACACATTTGTGTGACAATTTTTTGTTGTCGGAAGGACACTCTTTGGCTGCTCTTGCAGGTGCCTCCTCTCCAAAGTGGTCAGTTCTCAATAATCTACACGTGGATTACATGCTTTCTTCATTATTCAAGGATAATTTTTAATTCCAAGCTATGCCTTTGCTTGACCTGCTCTCATTAAAGTATCCCTCAATGTCTTCTCTTAAGCTGGGGAATGTTATGCATTCTAATGTGAACATAATAGAAAATAAACAGAGAGGTATGTTTATTGAAAAATCATGGTGTAACAATTTCAAAATCTGAAAAAACAAAAGAACTCTGGAGTAATCCCCCCTGGAATTGGATTATTACCGCTTAAATGTCCTTCTGGGATTATAAAAAAATCAAAAGTCATTTATGTACTGACTCCATCATCTTCCCAAAGCCAGAACTTATAAGAATATAGTTGCAATATTGAACCCTGAACCCAGTGGAAGTTCAGGAATGAGAGAGGGTACTGACACATATAAATTCTTCTGCCAACTTGAGATCCCATGGGACTTGCACTAAAAGCCTCTCTAGCCCTTTCTCAGGGCAGTTTTCAAGGGAGCTGACCCTGAGCTATCTTGTCTATCCTCTTATAACAGAGTGAAACCCAATCGAGCGATGTAAAATCAGAGTGAAAATTGGTCGCACCTCATCTCCTCTTTAGCAAGAGCGTCCTATGTCCACTCCACCTTAAAAGTGAAACGTGTACTTTTTGTGTGCAGAGCCTGCACCAAGCGGGCCCCCTGCTCTTTTCAGGGAGGGAATGTAAGCAGATCTCTGAAGAAACCACTTGGCTCAGCAATTTTAAGGCTTGTTGTAATTGGCATGGCCTAAAAGAATTCAGCAAGCTGTACCTGTGCCAAGGAAAATGCAAATGCTTCCCCGAAACAGAGGCGTTTAGACTGGAGGAGAGGAGCTGGGCTTATCTGTGAGCCCGAGTTGAAAAGCAAGGGTGCAGGAAAGCTAGGTCATCAGAGGGGCTCCAAAGAGGCCATTTTCTGGCTTAGCCATGGTGGAGGCCATAGCCACTGAGCTGGCCACACTGGTCTACAAATGGGGTCTACAAGAGAAAAGTCTTGGCTAGGTGGCTTCCTCCTTCCATGCCCAGCTCCTCGTTTCCCTGAAGAGTAAAGCTAGGCTCTTGCCCAGACTGGCTCCCCATCTGCTCCCCAGGGGGCTGCTTCTGGGCTCAGCCTCCAGCACTTTGTCTAAACACTGGGGCTCAGGAATACCCTCTGATGTTCTCAGGCCAGGAAGAAACTTCCTACAGACTGGCTGCTCCTGATTCTCTATGGCTGCGGTCCCCAGCCCTGGGGCCAAAGCCCAGTACCAGTCCGTGGCCTGTTAGGAACCGGGCCACACAGCAAGAGGCGAGCAGTGGGTGAGCAAGTGAAGCTTCACCTGTATTTACAGCTGCTCCCATCACTCACGTCACCACCTGAGCTCCACCTCCTGTCAGATCAGTGGTGGCACTGGATTCTCATAGGAGCATGAACCCTACTGTAAACTGCGCATGCGAGAAGAGATCTAGGTTGCACACTCCTTATGAGAGTCTAATGCCTGATGATTTGAGGTGGGGCTAAGGCGGTGATGCTAGTGCTGGGGAGTGGCTGCAAATACAGACTATCGTTAGCAGAGAGGTTTGACTACAAAGAGAACATAATAAATCAATTGCTTGCAGATTCATATCAATACCCTCTCAGTGAGTGGCAAGTGACAATTAAACTGCATCTGGTGGCAGACTTTAAGTAAGAATCTGACACTTATTTTTTTTTCTTTTTATTTATTTATTTTATTTTATTTTTGAGACAGAGTCTCGCTTTGTTGCCCAGTACTGTGGTGTCAGCCTAGCTCACAGCAACCTCAAACTCCTGGGCTCCAGCAATCCTTCTGTCTCAGCCTCCCGAGTAGCTGGGACTACAGGCATGCGCCACCATGCCCAGCTAATTTTTTTTTTCTATATATATTAGTGGGCCAATTAATTTCTTTCTATTTATAGTAGAGACAGGGTCTCACTCAGGCTGGTTTCGAACTCTTGACCTCGAGCAATCCGCCCGCCTCGGCCTCCCAGAGTGCTAGGATTACAGGCGTGAGCCACCGTGCCCAGCCCTGACACTTTTTTAGCCTGTGCATGGCCCACCCATTATTTTATTTACCACTTCCACCTACACCTCTTTCCTGCATTGAGCCCTAGTCTCAGTGACAGTTTTGGGAAGCCCACAGGCTGGCTCTAGCAAAAATGAGTAAAAAGCAAACGTTGTTGGAGAGTTTCTTTGCAAAGAGAGAAAGACCCAATGATGAGGCAGCAGAAGACTCTAAGACTGCCAACAAAATGAAAGCTGCATTTAAAAGAAAGTACCAAGAGTCATACTTAAATTATGGGTTCATTGCAACAGGTGATTCACATTCTCCAAGCCTGCTTTGTATAATATGTGGTGACCAGCTGTCCAATGAAGCCATGAAACCTTCAAAACTGCTTCACCACATGTAGACCAAGCACTCTGCCTTAAAAGGCAAGCCTTTGGAGTTTTTCAAAAGAAAAAAGTGAATATAAAGAAGAGAAGCAATTATTGAAGGCCACCACTTCATCAAATGTGCCTGCACTGAGAGCATCATTGTCAGCAGTAACTGCATTGCTAACGCTAAGAAGCCGTCTACTATTGGTAAAGAGTCGATCCTGCCTGCTGCTAAGGACATTTGCCGTGAACTTCTAGAATAGGCTGCAGTTCAAAAGGTGGCATGTGTTCTCTTTTGGCTAGCACCATAACTAGACAAACTGATGAAATAGCAGAGGATACTGAGGCACAATTGTTAGAGAGGATTAATGAGTCACCATAGTACGCAATCCAGGTTGACAAGTCTACCAATGTTGACAACAAGGCAATAACGCTTGTTTTTTGTGTGATATATTTTTCAGGAGGATGTGCATGAGGATATGTTACGTGCAATTTTATTGCCAACCAACACCACAGTTGCAGAACTATTCAAGTCTTTGAATGCTTATTTATCAGCAAAACTGAATTGGTCATTTTGTGTCTTTATATGCATGGACTTAGTGGCTTCCATGACTGGACAGCTGTCTGGTTTTACTAGTTGGGTCAAGCTGGTCCCTTCTGAATGTGAGTCTATGCACTGTGTCATCCATAGAGAAATGCTGGCCAGCCAAACAATGTCATCTGAAAAAACAATGTTTTGCAGGATGTGATTAAAATTATCGACCACATTAAAGTATATGCCCATAACTCACATCTGCTCATGCAGCTCTGTACGAAGATGGATGCAGGGCACATATGTCTTCTTTTATACACAGAAGTGAGGTGGCTTTCTAAAGGTAGATCACTGGCCAGAGCTTTTGAGTGACGATAGCTGCTCCAGAGATTTTCTTTCAGAAAAACACTCACCACTGGCAGCACATTTCAGTAACGCAGAATGGGTCGCAAAACTTGCTCACTTGTGTGACATATTCAACCTGCTCGACAAATTCAATCTGTCACTTCAGGGAAGAACAACAACTGTGTTCAAGTTGACAGATAAAGTGGCTGCATTCAAAGACAAACTGGAATTATGGGAGTGACAAGTCAACATTGGGATTTTTGACATGTTTCAAACATGAGCAGAGGTTTTGAAAGAGACTGAGCCAGGGCCTTCTTTCTCCCAGCTGGTACAAATGACCACCTATTTCAGCTTTCAGAAGAGTTTGAGCATTACTTCTCAACCACCAGGGACCCCCAAACTGGGAAGGCATGGATCTTCAACCCATGCCTGAATAAGCCAGGTAAATCGACTTTGTCCGTACTAGAAGAAGATAACTGCTTGAGGCTGCAAATGACAGTGGCTTTGAAAGGATGTTTGAGACAGCTTCAAATTTCCACAGGTTCTGGATTAAAGTCAGGGAGGAATATCCTGAGACCGCCACAAAAGTACTGAAAACCCTACTTCCACTTCTGACATCCTATCTTTGTGAAGCAGAGTTTTCTGCAGTGACAGCAACAAAAAACGAGATTCCAGAGTAGACTGGACATAAGCAACACACTTCGGGTGTCACTGTCTCTCATCGCGCCCAGATGGGACCATCTAGTCGCAGGAAAACAAGCTCAGCACCCCCACTATTCCAAATGATGGTGAGTTGTATAATTATTTCATTGTATATTCCAATGTAACAATAATAGAAATAAAGTGCACAATAAATGCGATGCACTCGAATCATCCCACTCCCCGTATGTGGAAAAAATTTCTTCCATGAAACCAGTCCCTGGTACCAAAAAGCTTGGGGACTCACGTGTCTTTTCTGTTAAAAACGTGAAAACTAGGACCACTGCTTTGGATATTCTGCTATTTTTCTGCACAACACCCTATAATCCTTTGCAGGAGTTTTGCACGTGTCTGTCTTTCTCCCCTTCCCCACTTACCTGTGTCCTCAGTTAGGGCAGGCCCAGTGTCTTCCCAGTTGGTTTCCTAATGCTTACCATGGTTTTTGGCCAGTAGTAGTTCCTGAGCAAAATGATTGTTTAACTGACCGACAGTAAGGAATTCAGATTACTATGGGGCATTTTATAGCACAAATTTTTTTAATTAATATTTTGATTTCTATTTCTATCACATATCTGAGCAGATAGGAGGCATTCAGTCAACATTCGGTGGATTCAGAGATTCCCAGTGAATTAACAGTCTTCTGCAGCCAGAAAGGTGCTCTTCCCTACCCTTCCCTGAGAAGTGAGGTAGGTGGAGAAGGGGAGAAACAAGTCTTATGATGAGTGTGGCCTTCATTCTGTTTCTTCTGTCTCAGAAGACCCTGCAGTGCCTTGCATCCTTCTTCCCCCTCAACATCGACCCTTCTTCTCACGTCTCATTTCCTCTTGAGACCTTGAGATGATCTTAGAAATATCCCAGATATCTCGGACCTCTCTGCAGGTTCTCTTTTCACATCTCCCTATCTCTAATTTTTTCTTACTGCTCTCAAATTTCTTTTCTTTTTTTTTAGAGATGGGGTCTTGCTATGGTGCCCAGGCTGGTCTTGAACTCCTGGGCTCAAGTAATCGTCCCAGCCCAGCCTCCCAAGTAGCTGGGATTATAGGCACATGCCACTGTGCCCAGCCTCTCCCTTCTCCTTCATTCCTAAGCTCTTTTTCCTCTCCCACCTAAGCCTCTGTTCTTTCTACTCAATCACTTTAATACTCCATCTCTCTAGTCTGACATCATCACCCATCAGCCTTGCACCCTTTTGCAACTTTGCCCCAGTTCACCTCACACGAGCCACTCCAAACACATACCGCATCCCAGCCCTGCCCAAAGCTCCATAGTATTAATATTTCTTCCTTCCTTATTAGCAACCTCTACCCTTTTTATTTCCCCTGCCCCTATTATGCTTTCCCAGCCCACCCTGTAAGGCTCACACATGGATGTAAAAGATCACAGAACCGGCAACACCTTCACCTATGCTCTTTCTCGTACCATGTGTTACAAGTGGTACCACCTCAAACTGGAGGTAGTATTTTTAAAACTTATTATCATTCTGACTTTTAAAAATTCTGATTAATTTTAGGTCCTGTCTTTATACTCTGGTACTATACTTTCTGATGCATTTTGTGTGTGTACATTCTGCTTAGTCTTGAGCCCCATTGGAATGGCCCACAATCAAATTGATTTCAAAGGCTGGGTTCAAACAGAGATCAGGCAACCACTCAATCAGGGAAGATATGGAAGGAATTTAGAGATGTGTGTGTGTGTGTGGGGGGGGGTGTTGATAAGATGACTTCTAAACATATCTTTTAAAACCTGAGATGCTCCTTCAATTGATCTTTCAAAGTTGTAGGAGTTTTGCCTTCTCCTTTGTGTTGTCTACTATCCTAAAGGGCATTCGCCCCATCAAAAAAAGTGCTTAAATCTTGGAATTACCTAAGATAGTACAAGAAAGAATTCTGTTCTAGGGAAGGAGAGGAAAAGGCAACAGGCACACTTTGGATTTATCTGACCGTCTAATGTGTTAGACCACGCAATTCTTCAATGGGATTGGAAGTGCTATGTGCAAGAATTTCACGTGCTTTTTTGTCTAGCTTCTCCTTTTGGTACCCTAAGAGCCAGCAGGATCCTCAAAAGTTATTTCAGTCCAGTCAGCCTCTGTGCTTGGACCCTTCATTGACCAATGAACTTCCAGTGACAGAACCCTCAGGGCCTTCTCCAGACAGAAAGCCACCTTCCCAATTTGGGACTAAACCAGCAGAATATTTTTCTAATAGTGAACCCAAAATCATTCTCTTTGAAGTTTCTCCTGATGGGTTCCCTTCTATTCCCTGAAGCTGGGTAGAACAAATTCCATCCCTTTTCTACCTGAGAGCCCTTTGGATATGTGAAAAGAGCAGTTACAGAGATGTATCTTCATCTGCCTAAATATTCGTAGTTTTACAAATTCCTCATGACATGGTTTCAGGTCTCCTCTATATCTCGGTTGCTCTATTTTCAGTGTGTTCCGTTTTGCCTGGTGTGGGGTCCAGAGCAGAGTGGGATGCTCTGACCGGTCCAAAGAGGAAGGGGACTTGACTTCCTGCCCATTCACTTTCCTGTTTCTCAGCCCATGACCCAGCGTCCCTCATGTACTGCGGCCCCTGCTCCTTCCTTCCTGAGAAGTATTTCTAGATCTTAATTCCATCATTCGCAGCAGGCCTATCGCTAAAAGTCCACAGGGTTAGATCCATTTGCACGAAAGGGACTCTTTTTATTTTTGCAGCTTTCCTTGACTTCTCTAAATCCTTGTTACTGTTTTTTACTTGAGTTGAGTTGACAAAGTTTAAGTATCTTCAATGCAGTTTACTTTTTTCATATTCATCCTAAGGCCCAATGTAAGTCTGAGAAATATTTATTGAGTTCATGATCAGAAACAGTATCATCAATGGACTTACTTTCATCATCATCATCGTTTAAGCGGCAAACAGATTCTTTCGCTTCAAGTATTGTTGTTTTTCTGTCCTTATTCCTGTAGTGTCTATGTTGCTTTTGGGGGGAAGAGCTCATGAAGGAACCACAGAATCATAGGCTCACGTAACCAAGTAACAGTTCCAGTGCAGAAGCAAAACTATCCATGGAACCAATGTCGGAACACAGGTTGCAGGACCTCCTATGCCTTGTGTGTTCACACTGTGCTCTTTCTCTTGAGAAAAGGGCGACTGGTGCTCACTGACCGTCCTCAGTGCAGGACAGTGAGCCACACCATTAAGGAGTATTGACTGGCTCCCCGACCATGAGGACCATGTGCTGGGCATGACAGAGAGACCCAGACTGAGCCTGCAGGAGAGAATTTGTCATTATGTCAAATGTGGAGCAAACAGCCAATAGGCCTGGTGGGAAGCTCTTTAGTTACCAGTACAGTTGGTGGAACCCAAACAAGGAAACCTTGCAGAATGACAACAGCGCGCTGGCACCGAACCCTAGGTCTACCACAGGGTTTGTGACACATGGTCTCATCTTGACATCATACCGGTTCCAAGATCCTGACTGTGACATTAGGTTAGCTCCATTTTATGGATGGAAAAACTGAGGTGAGAGTCGTTAACTGACTATAAAGCAAGAGGCAGAGATAGGGATCACATCTAACTCTGTATCAGCCTAGGGCGTGTCTGCCCATGTCACATTGTCTCACCGACTATTCTAGCAGTCCTGGCACGGGAGCTCTGGCGGGGGTGGGGGTGGGGGAATGGAGAACACAGCATATTAATATCAGCAAACCAACTCTCAGACCAATTCCCACTGACCTCTATTTAATTCCACTACCTTCCTGATGTTGGTGGCAGCTCTGTGCTGAACCATATGCAATGACTGAACTTGGAGTAAAATCACAAAGCTCCATTTATTGAAAACCACAGTCCCTTCATGGGCTCTTTCTCCACAGCGACATAGACACTACAGGAATAAAGACAAAATGCAACAATAATAACCTTACACAAAAGACGCTGTGTGCCACTAAATTGGTGGTGGCGACACCGCCAGCCAGGTGGGTTAGAATGAACGAGACTGTGTCCCTCTGAAAGAGACATCATTTGTGCGCGCAGTCTGTTTTCGTCCAGGTGGGGAGCAATGAGTTGCCAGGGCTCCATGGCACCAAAAGGCCAGGAGCCCACACTGGCAAGAGAGCCCGGGAGACTGGACCATCACCCTTTACTCAGACAGTGGGGACCACGCCTGTCTCCCCAGAACAGCCCTGTGCGAGAGTCCGACTTTATGATACATTCGTGCCAGACGCCACTTCCCATGCAGAGCGGAGGCTGTGCAAGCGTGTTACTCACTCCACACTCGCCTGGACTCACAGACCTCCAGGCACCGAGCTCGCTGTCTCCCTGAAGTATCTGCCCGATTCATTACAGAGGATCTCGACACTGCGGCTCACACAGAGGCTGTTCTTCATGGCTGGATTCGGGCCCCACGCCCTCTGGGGCACCCCCTCCAGGACGTGCACCCTTCCCTCGCCCTCCTCCCAGCCAGGCGCCGTCCCAGCTGGGCACTGCCTTGCCATGCCCCACATCCCCCACAAGGGGGAGCCCCCGGAGGGCAGCTGGGGCTGCGGGATTTTGGAAGCGCAGAACTTTTTCTGCTCCTGTCCTGTGACTGGTTTCCACTCACCTAACTGCAAGGTTTCTTTGTTGCAATGCTGGGGTCTGAGATAACACTTCTGGAGGCTGCAGGCGAGAACCGTGGATGATATCACCTTTTATTGTTGTTATTTACCCAGCATTGTAAGTTAAGGAGGAAAAGTAACAAAGAGCTTGAAGACATGCACAGCTCCCAGGCCCTGGGTGGAGGCTGGCAGCAGAGACTCTGAGGGGCAACCAGGAGGTGCCTGTGACTGCAGGACACAGGTAGGTGCTGCAAGAGGACCACCGAGGGGCTCATGGGGGGAAAGGCACGGAGCAGGGGTGGGAGGAGTGGGTGGAGCAGACACAGAGCGCAGTCAGCAGAGATTAAAGGGGGAAGGCAGCGCTGGAGGAGTTGGGAGATCAGGGGAAAGAGGAGGGAGGAGCCCAGGGAGTGCAAAAGAAAAAAAAAAAAGGGTTGTAGGGTGTAATGCAAAAGGCTGACCATGGATCTGAGAAACCCGGGGTGTGGAGGGTTTGGGAACTGAATCAGAGACTTAAGTTGGTTTGAAGTTGGTTCCAACTCGGCTGCCCCCAAAACTTCACAAGACATGAGAGGCTGGGAGATTGACAGCGAATGCTCACTTACACTAGAAGATTCAGAGTGAGTCGGTGTGCCCGCAAGTGGACCTGATTATTCTGGTTGTGTGTCATAGAGCCACACCTACTCTGGACTTTGACCTAAACTAGCAGGAATTTTGGTCTGTTGGAGCATTTTCAGGTTCTCTCCACTCTGAACTAATGTTGCACACTTTCCCTTTCTTTCAAATCTTCCACAGTTGCTCCAAGCAATAGCCTAGAAGTCGGAATGCCTTCCGGTGTAGTCCAGGCTTTGCTTATTGGCGAGATTAGCATAAGCAAGGAAATATCTGAGTTTCCTTTTTCTTTGTCTATAATAGGGAGATAATAATATATTACTGATGAGCCTTACAGGGTTTTTCTGAGGATTGAATAAGTAAGATAATGGGAATAAATGCTCTTAATAGATTATAATTGCTAGCTAAATAAAAGATGGCATTAATAATAATTAATCAGTTAATATACCCTTACTACTCTCAGCAGGGGATTTGCCTACTGCGCTTTGGAGGAAAAAAATATACATATATATATAATAAGAACAAGATAATATATAATATGCATTGTGTATAATATATATATCAGTCTTATTCCAGTATTTTTGGGAAAATTTAAATACATGACTCCCTATATCTGCAGCACTTTTTAGAGTAGCCTTGTTGGCAGATAAATGGGAAACTTTGTGTTCTTTCCCTTTTAGCCACCATCAAATGTTCTTTTGCCCAGCCTCAGTGACACTTTTCTATTTCTTAAACATGAGATAATGATTGATAGTGTCTGCTTGGCTACCTGGATGAGTGATTGGTCAGAGTCCTGGACATTGCTGCTGTTACTACCCTTCCTTCTTGCATCCAGATGTAATTGTGAGGGGCAAGTGAGATTATATCTGCACACATCAACAGTTTGGGACTCTGAAAGTGCTGTATTATTGCAAGGTACTATCATCATGATTATGTTGCATGTTTCTTACTAGTGATTTACCCATATTTCACAATTTAAATTATTTTAAAAGCCACCTTTCTCCAGCTGTTAATATATTCTCTTACTTTTTTTCATCTCTACCAATCACATGATAAATCAAATATTTATAGAGATGCTAAGATTAAGTCATACACCTACTTACTTTCAAAAAGTTAGCATCCTGTTGAAATCACATGTCTAGATGCACAATGGGTACAAAGACCATTTGTATTTTCCTACAACCACAAATATATGTATATATATTTCCCTTCTTTCAAGCATGTTAATACAAAATATATACAGATATATATTTGAGCAAAAAACATATGCCAACATTTACACAGCATACTTACTTAGCAGATTTAATAGGAGGAGACACAAACACACCGTTCTATCAGCATTTCAGCTATTTTAGAGTCCAGAAGTGACCACAATACACAATTCATGTGGTTAAAAAAAATCATGGATCAATTTCTGCCCTGTTCCTAGTAATGAATATCAATATCTTGCCTCTTCTAGACAGACTGTCAGCAGCTTCAGATATTTTTAAATGAGTTTTTTAAAATACGTTTGCAAAGTCAATTATTTTGAATCTCATCTGAAGCAATTAAAAAACATCCTGACATTTAAGGTGATATTTTTTCCCAAGTAAAATAATTATAAATAATACTAATTATGAACAAATCATTCAGTTACTCTCAGTCTGGTTCAACCTTTAGGTTAATAAACCAATCCATTAAAATTCATCTTGCTCAGAGGACCAATTTGTTAAAAAATGTAGCGACCTTTCACCACAAGTATGATTGATATTTTCTTTAACAATAATCAAAACTGTCTTTCCCAGAAGAGAATGTGGTCAAGTGGTATGTATAGAAAACTAGGGTTCATTTATGCCTTTCTTGGTAATACTTCTCAGATAGGTACAAAATGATGTTGATGATGAGGATTGTGATGATAAAGTCCAAAATTAAAACTCTAATTTTAAGGAGTACCTTGAAAAAAATGTCTGGGAGTCTCAGGACGATTGTTCGCAAACCTAACAATGTCATTCTTCATGCCAGAAAAGGAGTTTAGGTACTCCTCTCTGCCTCTGGTGTTTCATTCTTACCAACGGTATAGACAGGGATTCGCAAATATGGTCCATGGGCCAAATCTGCTCTGCCACCTATTTTTGTAAATAAAGTTTTATTGGAACAAGGCCCATTTATCCATTTACATATTATCTATGGCTGCTTTCCTACTACAAAGGCACAGTTGAATAGTTACAACAGAGACCACACAGCCTACAAATCCTAAAATACTTACTATCAGGCCCTTACAAAAAACTTTTACCACCCTTTGCTATAGGGTAATGAAAAAATGTATGGTAGCAACTAATATTTGAGCAGCACTTTAGAATTTATAAAGTCTGACTATGCTTTGTTATAACAGATATTATTATCCTCATCGTCACTTAACTGATGGAGTTGCAAACTTTTCCATGGTCATTGAGCCATGAAGTGGTGTAGGAAGGACTTGACTTATAAAGAGGGAAGAACACTGTCCTGATGGCATCTCTCAGAGCCGTGATGAAGGAGATGGCTCTCAAACTGCAGTGATGGCCACCTGTCTCATTCATCCACCCAGAGGTGATCATTGCCAAAAGACAACAGAGGAAGCAAAACTCTTGACATTCTGTTCTCTCTTTATCTGACCTTGGCCTGGGCAATTTTAGCCTTGTCTGCTTCTATATCCCCATTCTCAAAACCAGTTATACTCATAAACAGAAAGGAAAGCAAAGTGCTTTGCAGTCAAACAAAGCTAAGCTTTATTGCATCATCTCTCACTTAGCCATACTGAAGGAATGTATCCACCCTAAATTGGCACTGTGACATGGATATTCCAAAGCAGCAGATATAGAAAAGTCTTTGTTTTTGAATATGCCATCTTTTTTAAAAGTTTGCTTCTTGAAACAGCAAATAGCCTCTTAGTTGCATTTCCTTTTTATTCGAATTAGGAATAAGAAATTCCTACATGGAACCTTTCCTGCAGATTGCAAGCCAAAGATAAGGATTCAGACCATTAGGCTAATTCAATTGTCTATTCAAACAACTTAGTTATTCTGAGTGTCCACTCTGCTAGGCACTGCTAGGATTTGAAGGAGTATTGCATTGACTAAGATTCAGACGTTCTCTAGGACATGATTTATTAGAGAAACAAACATGTGCATGTGTGTTTATAATACACAGTAGAAACAAGCAATGGGATAAAAATCTTAAGCGTGCTCAAAGGAGAAGTTATTCTTCCTTATTGGACAATCACAGAAGATATTATAGAGGAAGTGGCATTTGTGAGACTTGAAGAATATTTGAGTCTAAGACATTTGAAATGAAAGAGACTGGACATTCTAGGAGGAAACAGAGGGAGCAAAATCATAGAGCAAAGTGTAGGGCTTGTATGTGTTGAGAAAATCATCCATTCGATGTGGAGCATATGCTTATACCACAATGGGGGGAGATAAGATGGGAGAAGCAGGTCAGAACCAGGTTCTGGAGAGCCTTGGATTGTAGGGTAAGAAGTTTCATCTTTATTTTGTAGATGGTGAGAGCCATTGAATATTTGCATGTAGGAAAATTACATGGTCATACCTGTGACTTGGAATAGAGTGTAACGGATCTTTGAAAAGAAGTTGGACGCAGGTCACCTGGTAGAGGCAAGGTGAGAAAGGTAACTCCTTCATCTTGTGCTCTAATTGTAAGCCCGCTCTTCTGTGATGACCCTGACTACTGTAGGTCATAGCACTGGCTCAGGGCTTTCCGAGGGCATTTATTTAATGGCATGCCAGTGGCATTTACTCATAAAACCAAAAAGCCATTGGGGCCAGAAATAGGGGTTTTGGTTACTTCCCCAGACAGGATGCAGTTCGGGTGATTATACATGTGATTCATCGAGGTCGGGAAACAAAATTCCTCCACAAACAAACACCCCTCCCCTCCAAGCCCAGTGACTCATGGCTTCTGCAGTTTGATCCATGGAAAGCTCTGGAGTCCAGGCAAAATTTGAGGTATAATGTTAAATCATAAATCTTTAGCATTTATTTTATGAGAGAAATATTTTTATTCATTCTTTCAATCATTCGAACAATAAGCACCTATTGGACTCCTACTGTTTTAAGCACAAAGAATATAGCATTATAAAACATAAGTTTCTGCCATAAAATATTCCCCAGTTTAATTGGGGAAAGAGATATGAACAATATGGAGAGTATCCTGTAAGTGTTATTATAGAGAAATAAATTTAAACAGTACTAAAGGATCAGAGAAAAGACCCATAAGTGCTTTGGGAAGGGAGGGGTGGCATTGGAGTTAAGTCTTAAAGAATAACTATTTATCATCATTCATTCATTAATTCAACAAATAGTTATCAGCACTTACTATGTACGAGGCACTGTTCTAGGCATGAGATTTCATGCTTTTGTGGAACGCAGATTCTAATAAGAGGACCCAGATAATAAATACTGCTTGAAGCCAATCAAACAAATATCTCTCCCCATGGAGTTTACATTCTTGTAAAGGAACATGTCAGAGAGCAGCAACTAGTACCTCGTTCCAAGCAAGAACAATGTATGTGAAAAGAAGCATGAATCTAGCACCCTAGGCAAGAATGGAGAAAGAAACCTCAAAAACCTCAGGTTTGGGGTGCCCAATATGATAAGAGGGCTTGTTAATAGGCTTGGATTAAGATGGGCAGATTGCCCTGGAACTCTGGCTGGACTGGACAGGATAAGTTGGACACCATCCTTACAAAGCATCAAGTCCCTAGGCATTCTGATTTTGCAGTATCTATCACAAGGCAAGTAGAGTCACTGATTCTGGACTCTGAGCACAGTGGTTTGGATTCCGTGATAAATTTTCTATACCTTCAGTCTGACTGTTCTGCAATGGCCCAGTGCTGTAAGACACTGGCCACCTCCTCACTTAAATAATATTCAGGTCAAATTCTCCAACAGCCAGCCAACTCCAGCTTGGAGGTCATACTCGATTCTCATTTTATCAGGTTGTCTAAAATAACCAGGGCATGAGGTGGTTATTGTTATGGTACTCATTGGAATGAGATTTGACCTATATAAGGAAAAGAACTAGCACAGAAATAGCTCTTCAGCCCATCACAGGCTTGGAGAAATCCAGTATAAGCAATCGTAGAATCACGGAGCTGGAAGAGACTCAAGGTGACTTAAGGTAATCCTGCCTCTAGGCCTGTCTGGAAATTTAATATAAATTTTAGAGCTCATTATTTTAACAAATGCACAAAAACATACTCATCTTGAATAGTATGGTTCTTTTCAGGGTAGAAATGCTGCCTACCTAGCCTTGGGCAAAAGATCTTGGAACCTCCTATTTTACAGTACAACTCAGAACCTGTAGCATATTCTGTTAATATAATTCATGGGGCAAAAAATCATTGTCTTTGGAAACTGTTTTATGCGTGTGTGTGTGTGTGTGTGTGTGTGTGTTTTAAACTTGAGTGCCATATTCAATGGGTCCAGCAGGATGACCCGGTTTTGGTTAAAAATGAATTTAAATGCAACTATAAAACTAGGAGCTGACATTTTTGTTTGCCTCATAACTGGTTCAAAAGGGACTTACCAGTAATCACAAAGGTAGTAAGTAAGTACATATCCTCCCAGATTGTCAAGTTGAGGGTATATGAGCTCTGGGAAGCTGTACTGTTTCTCACTGTCTATGGTGAACTACTTGAGGTCAATCTTGTTTTTTTCAGAATACCCGCCTACCTCAGAGGCAGGTGCTTGTCAGAAACTATTGTTAAATGAATTAAAAAAAAATAATGTTGTACTTTATAGTCATAGCATGAATTTTTTTTGTCCATTTTCATTTTTTTCACCAAATGTGAATCTCCTGATTACCTCTTACCTTGAGGCAAATTAGGCAGCAAATAGCAAAGGAGGCAGTCTGTGGTGGAGAAGATGCTGTTCTGGGAAGAAAGTTCAAGTTCCAGTGTAAACTTGAACTGGTTTATACCAGTATAAACTAGAACTGGGTGGTACTTGGAAAAGGGACTTAAGACTGTGTCTCCCTCTTTAAATAAAGGGGTCGAATTAGATGATGGGAAAAGGTCCACTTGAGGAATACAATCTTGAGTAGCTACTTTGTGCCTGTCTCTATGTTCATGATCTAGAAAATATTTTTCAGGACTTGGTGTTGGTCAGGAATCTTGTGTTTGCAAGTGACAGAAACTCAGCTTAAGTTAGTATCTAGGTAGGAAACCAAACTTCAGGAAAGGTTAGGGTACATGAGGCTCCAGATATTTCTAGAATTGAAGACTCCATCACTTCCTTCCACTTTATTTTTGGCTTCTCTCTCTGGGTGAGCTTTATTCTCTCAGATCCGCTTCCTTCAGGAGGCTGGAGAAATTTGCAAAACCTCTGGGAAGTCCTCTGAGCCAAGAAAACAAGAGAACATGACCGGCAGCTGCTACTAGTCCCATAAGTTTGGGTGGAGAGAGGGTCAGCTTCCCCTGAGGAAAGGTTGCTCTACAGCCCAAATAAAATAGAGCCTCTCGAGAGCCGGTCTTCCCCCTTTCCCTCCCACTCCCACCTCACTTCTCTCGGCCCTGCAAACACTGGGTGACTCTCCACTCTCCTTTGAAGACCCCATTCAGCTTTGCTTTCTCCGAGGCCCAACTGCCAGGGCAGCACACTCCCTTCCTGTCTGTGCTTCCAGAGCACCTGGAGCCCATCTGTACCCGGGAAGTGCAACTTGTCATGTCGTTCGTCCTGGTCTCGTCCTGGTCTCGTGACAGGTGTTTCTCGCTCACGAGACTGGGAACTCCTCAAAGCCACTGACTGCATTCATTGGTTTTCTGTTGCTTTATTTATTCAGTTATTTACTTATCAATTATTGACAGCCTACTGCGTGCTGGGTTTTGGGGATTCAAAGAGAAGTAACGTAAGATTCCTGTTCTCAAGGTGATCAAGGTCAAGTGGGAAATGGATGATAAACAGACACTTGCAGTGCATGACACCGGGTGAGTCTCATAGATGTCAGTGCTGGGTTCTGTAGGAGTACACAGGAGAGTCTTTTATCTGAAGCAAGGATGGCAGTTCGGAGACCAGACAGAGTTCTCAAGAGGTGGGAAGGGCTAAGTCCTGTTGAATAGGTTGTGTGAGGTCAGAAGGGAGAGAACATTCTTTGCACCAAGAACAGCATATGAGGTCAGGGGATGCCTAAAATTACAATGTAATCAAAGGCTTATGTACAAGTTGGATAGATAAGGCAGAGACTCATGAAATGGAAAATAGGACAGTTTGCAATGAAGATTTGTTGCAGTACAATGCACTGGGAGTATTGAAAAGCTTAGGGTCACCATGTGCTTACCCTGGACATCTCTCAGAAAATGGGGGTCTTGACTCATTTCATGAGGGGTTGACGACACTAAATGTGAAATCAGAAAGTCTGGGTTTCAATCTCACTCTGCCAAATATTAGCTTGGTAATAATTTCTCAATCCCTAATTTCTACATTGTGAAATGAAGACATTAAAATTCATCTCTCGAAGTAATACTGAGGATAAAATAAGACATGTAAATGAAAATACTTAGTAAACTGTAAAACACTCTACAAACATAAGTTATTCTTTAAATATGTTTATCAGTAAAATAGAGAATTCTTAATTGACAAGGATATTTGGAATATATAAAAAGATGTATAAATATAGTTGCATGGAAAAATACAATATTTACATTAGGAAGTAGGTTAATTTTCTTACTGGCTAAAAATCTTGGTGAATGCTATTGCAAAAACATGTTAATGAGTTGACTATGGCTTTTTATACCTTTCTGACTCTGAGGATAGGGCAGAAAAATACCACTTCAGGGTGGGCAGTCTGACTCAGCTGCACAGGTGATGTTAAGTAGTTTGGGCATTCTGATTTTAAGGTGTTATCCCTACTAAGCAAACTGCATTCTTGCAGACAGAAGTTTTATCTGAGGATTTCCTTCTTGAAATGTGCAACTTTCCCTTCAGTGTCTCCATTTCCCCCTCTTGAAATGGTCATCAGCAATAGTGGTATTTTACAGTCACATTTGTACAAGCAATCTGTAAGAAGTGTGATTTCATTATATTCTGCATGTGCCAGTCTTATACTCTGGTCAGATGTGGGGAAGGGCAAAGAATTGCATCCAATAGATGCAGAATGACCTCCTAGTGGAATCTAAACTCTTTTGAGTGCATTTCAAAGACTGTGGGTGAAATACTAAAATTTAATTGTCACAGTGTGTTCAGGCACATAGAGTAAATAGCCCTTCATTCCACATACTCCTTCAGTTCTAGAGAGCCTTAGCTCTTCTTTGGGGAAAAAATTCCCATTCACCACTGACACCAACACCGAGCTGATCATTACCGGAAAGAGTGACTCCAGTGCTCCTCCATGTTGCTGTGAACATGGCCCTGGAAAGCACTAAGTGAGACATCAGAAATTTATCACTCACTCTTATTCAATGGTGCATTCAGAGAACCTAGAAGTAGGGGCCATCACTCCCAGGTGTGGGATCAAAGTCATGGCCAGTTGGTAGTCCTTTCTCTTCACGCATTATTCCATCTACTCGGATCTAACTATTCTAAAAAGCTGCCTTTCCAAAACTCATGTAAGGAGGAAAAGCATGGCTCCTTTTCTGGAATATGAAGTCTATGAGATATCAGTACAAGTTCCACAAAATAAGGAGGTATTCTAAGGTCAAACGAGTTTAAGAAATGTTGAATATGTCCCCATTAGAGATATAAAATGTACGTGCGTGTATCAAAGGCTGCAAAATAAAATAAAATACACTCAGCTTTCCTGAAGTTATTTGACTTTGGAACTGTTTTATTTAGTAAAACTCAGTAACATCTTGAATACCTCTTGTTCCTAGATAGAAGTAAAATGCTGTTCTTAGAGAAGTCTCAGTGAGTAGTTCTATTGAAGGCTGAAGTCCATGCCTTAGATTGAAGAAAAGCTGAACATAGCTTAGGTAAATATTGTAAATAGGGAATACATGGTTACTATCCAAGGGTTCTTTTAAATAGCCTATTCTTTATTAAATTGGAAAACTGTAGAGGAGGAGGAAGGCTGCAGTAAGCAATCAGCGCCTGAGTCCATTCATCCAGTAAATCTTTTCTCAATATTAATTCAGAAAAAAAATTTGTTTCTTCTTTTCTATTGGACTGGATAGATGATAGATTTCATGGAAAATCCCTTGAAAATGTTGAAATTGACTCTTCCTCTTCCTCTGCCCATTTGCCTTTCTTTATAAGGAATGAGTATGGGTTTGATTTATAACTATTATGGTTTGTATTTGATGGGACCCTATGGAAACCTACTAGCCAAGGGAAAGAGTAATCGCTAGTAGTTTTAACTGTAATCACAGAAAAATCCTTTCCTTTCCTTCAACCTTTCCATGGCTCTGTGATGGTGAGCCATGTATTTCATAGAGCCTTTCCAATAAGTGCTAAGATTATATTTTCTTTCCATAGGCTCTCCAAAGTGTGTTCTCTTTCTACTCACAAAATAGCCAGGAAGCTGTTAGGTAATGAGATCAACTCTAGTCATCAGACACATCATTTTATCCCTCCTCTAAGAAGATTTTCTTGATCAGCTTTCTTCTTTAATCACTGTATCCGCCAATATCTCTTCAGAATTTATTCGGTTCATAAGATGTCATTTTACCTATGGCGACACAGAGCTCTGCAACTGACCTCAGTCCATTCATATGGATATTTTCTCTGCCAAGTAGAATTTAAAGTGCATTGGTGGCAGGTAGAATATATTTAATTCTTTCATACTGTCTTCAAAGTCTTACATGCAGTGTTTTGTACAGAGTAGGCATTGGTATGTTTGAATTGACTTAAGAATAATTTGCATGAAGTAAATGTGAGAATATCTGCTCATCTCTTGAGGTTTCTGTGTTTTGACTACAGCATGAACATTGGAGTCCACCTGACCTGAGTTCACATCCCAGGCCAATAATATCAATAATTTTCGTACTCTTGATCGACTTGCTTATCTTCTCAGATTCCATTTTCTCACATAAAAATGGGGCTAGTATATCTACAGTTTCTTAAAGGACCAAATAAAGAGCAGTTAGAAGTTTCTGTTCTGATGTCACACAGTTATGGATTTGATTCCCATTTCTGCTTTTTACTTGCTAGTAATACATCATCTTGAGCAAATTAGCTAACCTGTCTGAGCTTCATTTTCCTCATCTGTGTGTTAGGGTCCATAATAAGATTTGTTTCATGGAGTTGTTTGGATTAAACCAAATAATGCATGAGAACCTTAGAATGCTTACTTGATACCTAGTAAGCATTCAGTTAATGTTAACTATTGCTATAGAAGAGCATCTAGCATAATTGATGCCAGGGGGCTTACATACACGTTAGTTCTTTCACCTACTAATTCCCATCTTTAAAATTGCTGCCATGGCAGGTGCCCTTTGTAGATCTGTTGGCTAAAGGGACTTAATACATAACTTCCATTGCATGAATGGCATTCTTCCCCTTTTTCCTACCTTAAATGGCACCAAGTTCTTCTGAAGGAAAGACTTTCTTGGGGAGACAATGACTATCTGGATTAAAAAGAGCTTACATTCTTAAAAGTGTGGATTGGAGACATTTTTCATTGGACACAGCCATTTTGTGTTCTCTTGATTTCCTCAGGATATGAATCAGAGAAAAGAACTGAAGTCTTGTCCCAGGAAGAAAGGGGAGGGCAGGCAGAGGATTTTTCACTGGTAAGGCAATTTGCACACTTGTCCTTTTCATAGTGAGTCATGGTCTGTGATACATTTCATCGCAATTTGTATGAGTTTCCAATTCGGGAATTAGACATGCCAGCCAAATAAGGGAGAGACAAGAAAACAGACTTTTAATCCACCTAGTTACCATTCACAGCATTTTAGACGTGGAACTTCAAGAAAATGACTATTCTAGCACCCAACTTCTAGTTATATCTTTGAAGCCATCGAGAGAGAGAATTAGTGAATCACTTTCCACATGTCTTCTGCAGAGCAATTCAACACAGTTTTTTCAATAACCAGCTCTAGTGTTCCAGAAAAAAAGTCTTTCTAATCACTTCCCTAAATCTTTTTTTCTATGACTTGAGGCTAACTTTTATCTTTTTCTTTGCTTTCATGTTAGCTGACCTAAACTCTTCTTAAAATGACACTGTAAATTTTTTTAAGTTATTTAAATTTACATCTCCCTCCCAGTGTTTTACCTTTCTAATCGAGTAGTCCCAACTCATTTAAAATGCTCTCTTAGCATCCAATTTTTTCATACTTCAGGTCATTTTGGGCTACTATTCTGAGGATGTTTCTTAGCTATTCTATAACAGAATCATAAACACCAACACTGTTATCATCAGCCTTTCATATCTGTAGGTTCATCATCCATGGATTAAACCAACCACAGATCAAAAACATTTGAAAAAAAAATGGATAGTTTTTCATATTTTTTTCTTGTCATAATTCCCTAAACAGTACAATAGAACAACTATTTACGTAGTACTTACATTGTATTTGGTATCATAAGTAATCTGGAGGTGATTTAAAGTATACTAGAGGATGTGTGTAGGTTATATGAATATACTACACCAGTTGATATAAGAGACTCGAATATCTGCGGCTTTTGATATTCAGAAGTGGTCCTGGAATTAGTGCCCCACAGATACAGAGGGACAACTATATATTCACCCAGATAGCCCCAGATTTAAGTGCCACTCAGAGTACATTATAGGTGCTTAAAATGTTGACTGAATAAATACATATGGCCTCAAATTTGTACAGATTTGAATACTTTATGGAAAACTGACATTCCTAAAAAAAAAAAAAAAAAAAAAAATCCTGTCTGCAACTGTCTTATTTTGGCCTCTCCCTCCACCAAAAAGATCTTACCTTAGGTTATAAAGCTAGTATGTGTCAGAGTGGAGACCAGAACTTGTCCTCCAATTCCTAGCCACGTAAGTTTATTGCCTTCACCTGAACATTTGCTAATGCAGAGCTGCTAAAGTGTCTTAAAAAATATGGACACCCCTCAAACTCAACCTCATACTTGTAAAATGAAGAGAATAGCAGAAGGAGTACATACTAGTTCTCACATGTCTTTGTTTCGGGAGTACAGCTGAACATCATGTTATTTTTACATTGTAAAATGCAATTTGTTCATAGTTAGCTTTTATGCTTCTCTGCCTCTGAGTGCTGATTCCTATTGCCTTTTCTACAAGCATATCGTTTGCTCCCGTGGCATCTCTACATTTTGTCCTGGCTATGAAACATTAATAGCACACGATAGGGCACTTTGAAACTCTTCATCACCAAGAAGTAGGGCACCGTGGTGCCTTGATTAAATGGTGCAGGGTCAGTGTGAGGACCTTGGTTCGCCTTGTGATGAAATCCTTGCTGCTTCATGATTTCTTTCCATGCAAACGTCAACAGTCTTTAGTATTCCTTTCATTACTTCACTGGAGTTCAAAGTCAGCCAAAAGTGGGTATTAAATAATCAGGAAGACAGGGTCTCTTGCATTGAGCTTTTTAAAGGCAGGGACTACATCAGAAATTTGCATAGCCCCAGGCCCTAATCCAGGGCCTGGTATAGAACAGGTACTTAATACATGTTTATTATATTGAATTGACATCTATAAGAAAATTCAAGGAATCTGAGGCTTAGTTGTGACTTTGTCCATAATGATGTGACCTTAGATAAATCACTGAGCTTCTATTTTGTCATCTGCAAGATGGGATCCGTGCCTACCTTTAAAGGACTAATGGAATGTGAGAGTCCTATGAAATTGGGCCTTAAAGAATATTTGTTTTAGACTTCATAGACTAGATGGAGTTCTAGACTTTAAATGAATAACTTAAAAACTAATGGTTTTTGTGTGAATAATCAAAGCAAAGGGGCTCTTGGTGACCTACTGGTGGATTACTATTTTTAATTAGGAATTTATTTTTTGACAAATTCTTACAACCATCACTATCTGTTTTCCCCCCCTTAATTCACATTTCATTATGGTCATCTTTACTGTTGAAATTGTCAACTTGAAGATATGTTGAGAAATGGTGTGTGACAATCTGGATTCATAAATCTTAACAGGAAGAGCCTGGAGCCAAGCGGCTCAGCGTGTTATGCAATCCGTTAAGTCAGGCTTCTGGAATATGTGAGCAGTCTACCACTTTCTCGTTAATCTGAGGCAGAATGCCCAGAAAGAGTATTTCACAAAGGTTAGTGCAAGAGAGAAGCCCCATGAGCAATGGTTGGGTGCTGTATAATGGAGCAAACTTATTGCATTTATCAATGAAAGAAGTCTGTATTCTAACGTTGCCTTGCTAAGAAAGTCCCTGTAAACTTGTAAGCGAACAACTTTGCTTCCTCGATGGCTCTCAAACCTGAGTGGGCATCAGAACCATACTTGTTAAGTCACAGATGGCTGGGTACTACCCTCAGAGTTTCTGATTATGTAAATCTGGAAAGGGGTGGATACCAAGAATATGTAATTATGACAAGTTCCCAGGTGGTGTTAATGCTAGAAGTACAGGGACCACACATTGAGAACACTGTGCTACTTGGTTTCCCTTAAGATTGCCAAGCCTGGTAAAACCAAATATTCTACGGACTGCAACTCTTTTCCGAGACTGATGTAATGAAATGAGACTTAGATAAGCCATCAATAGCACAAACCGCAGGCAGGCATCTATGGGTCAGAGTGTCTATATAGACTTACAACGAACACTAGGTAAAGAAAACCAGAATTGTTTGTTTGCTTATTAAGTTAAGCTTTCAGTTCCACTCCTTCATGGCTTTATAGAACACACTATTGTTGTCTATTCCAAGTTCCTTCTACAGTCACCTGAAAATACATTGCCCGAATCTTAAAAACAAAGGTGAAAAAATATGTGTCCATTTTCTCTCAGGTTGTCATTCCAGGTTGTCATCTCTTTCCCAACATATGTGCCATGTATGCAGGTATCCTACCCTCTTGCTTTATAATCTAATTAAATACTAAGCAGTAATTTTGTACAAGCTATTTTAAGTCAAGTTCTTATTTTGTATAGGTACAGTGTTATCTACTGAAGTTCTTTTCCTGGAAGCCATTCCATATTCCATTCAAAATCAGCACCCATTGAGTTACTTCTTATGCCAAGCATTATTATAGGTACTTAGAAAAAGCTCCATTGGTGACCCAGATGGACACCAATCCCTGCCCTTGCAGAGCCGACAGTCTAGCAGAGGGAGACAGACAGTAAACACATAATACATGAATCAATATATTATATTTCTGGTAGTAGATGCTACGGAAAGGAGGAAATTAAAACAAAGTAGTGAAGTTCAAGACTGCAGGATCTGGCAGAGGACTGTGTGCACACTTGCAATTTTAAATAAGGATGTCTTTTGAGCAAAGATCTGGGGCGGGTGAGACTATATCTCTGGGGAAGAGTGTCGCGGGCAGGGAAAACAGCCCGTGCAAGAGCCCAAAAGCAGGAATCAGCCTAGCACATTTAAGGAACAGCACCGAGGCCAGGGTGGCTGAAGTGAAGACTGGGAAAGGAACGTGATAGGTCAGAGAGATAACAGAAAGGCAAGAGCAAGACCACATAAGGCTTTGTAGGTCCCTGAAAAAAGACATTGGCTTTAATCTGAGTGAAATGGGAGTCACTGCAAGGTGTTGATGAAGAGCTGACTTTTTAAGCAGGATCTGTCTGGATACTATGCTGAGAAAAGGTAGAGTAGGGCAAGGATAGAAGCAGAGACTAGTTAGGGGACTATGCCAGTAACCCCAGCAAAAGATGATGTGGCTTAAGCCATGGGCTGGTCAGTAGAAGTGGTGAGAAGCAGTCCAATTCTGGATATATTTTGAAAGTAAAATTCAATAGGATGTCATAATAGATTGGATGTAGAGTGTGAGAGAAAAAGGAAACAAAGTTTTCTCTTGAGCAACTGGAAAGATGAAATTGCTATTATCATATGATATTGCTAACATCAATTGAGATGGCTGTAGGAAAAGCAGGTTTGTAAGGAATACTAAGATTTGGATTTTGGACATATTGAATTTGAAATGACTATTAGACACATGATTGTAGATGTTGAGCTGGTTGTTGATTACGCACATGTGGAGCTTATAAGAGTATGTCAAGCATGTCTGGGCTAAAGATGCGGATTTAGGAGTCATCAACGTGTTGGGATTACAAACATGTTGACATTATCAAGTGAGTGGTACAGCTAGAGTGAAGTGAAGAAGAAGACAGGGAGTCAGCTCGGGGGGTCGCCAGCATTAAGAGGTCGAAGAGAGACTGAGGGATGACCATCAAGGTAGGAGAAGAAAGGTAAGAGGGCACAGTGTCCTAAAAACTAAAAGAAGGAAATGTATCAAGGAGAAGGGAGTAAAAAATAGTGCCAAATGCCGCTGATAGATCCAGTAAGATAAAGACTGAAAATTGTCCTTTCGATTTCATAAGTAGGCCTCACTGGTGACCTGAACAAGAACATAATTTGTCAGAGTAGTGATGGTTAAAGCTTGGTTTAAGTAGCTTAAGAGAATAATTGGACAAGAATGGGAAACAATGAAAAAAAGCCAACTCTTGAAGTTCCTGCAAAAGGAAGCAAAGAAATGGGATGAAAACAAATGGGGGAAGTGGGGTTAAGCTAAGGGGTTTATTGTTTTGGATTAGGAGAAATGACAATATGGTTGTGTGATGATCCAGCAGAGAGGGACAGGTTTTTATTTTTTAATTAATTATTATTATTATTTTTGAGACAGAGTCTCACTCTGTTGCCCTGGCTGGAGTGCCATGGCGTCAGCCTAGCTCACAGCAACCTCAAACTCCTGGGCTCAAGCAATCCTCCTGCCTCAGCCTCCCGAGTAGCTGGGACTACAGGCATGTGCCACCATGCCTGGCTAATTTTTTCTATATATTTTTAGTTGGCCAATGAATTTCTTTCTATTTTTAATAGAGACGGGGTCTCACTCTTGCTCAGGCTGGTTTCGAACTCCTGACCTTGAGCGATCCTCCCACCTCGGCCTCCCAGAGTGCTAGGATTACAGGTGAGCCACTGCGCCCCGCCCAAGAGAGGGACAGATTAATGTTTTAGGAAAGCTAGGGAAGAAGAAATTCCCTAAGCAATTTCACTGGGTCAGCAAATAGTGGTGTTCCAGCCAGTGTACAGCAAGTGTTACAGCAAGTGTTAACAGCGACTGACCGGGGAAAGAACCCAGCACCACACAGAGAGTCGGAGAATCAGCCTTTATTCCACTGGCGGGCTCAGAGAGGCATGCCACCAAATTCTGAGCACTGCTTCCTTGTTCTCCTCCGGTTTTATACACTTCTTGGGGTTACACACAACCAATCAACTGTGAGCATGAGGAGTTATCCAATCAGCAGTGGGATTCAAAAAGTATCCAATCAGCAACAAGCTTTACATATCCAATCAGCAGTGAGATCCAAAAAGCCTCCATTCAGCAGTGAGTTCAGCCATGGGGCCCCAGGGTGGGTTTTTTTCCCTATCAGTGGCAGAATCTAGTGTCCAAGTGGGAGATTTGGCTTCAGATGGGAGATAGGATATTTTCATTCACAGTAACAGGCATGCTTAGGGGAACAATGCTGCTGGGGAGTGGGTAGATGTAGTGGTGGGACCCTGCTTAATATTCCTTTTGATTGCTTTGGTTTCTCCATGAAGTAGGAAACAACATTATCTCATAAAATCTCAAATATTCTTCAAAAGAAAATAAAGCCCAAGTATATGCTTCTATAAATATTTATTCAAAAGATAAAATACAATGAAGCCAAACACACACAAAAACTATGCCATAAATGATCTGTTTAAGAAGTTTTTACAAACGAATCAATGGAGGTTTTTAAATAGGGATCTAATGTGTTTTCAACTAGGGACTCTTCCTGGCAAATGTCTCTGTATCAAGCATAGCCATTCTTCATTGCTCCACTAATCTTTAAATTTGTTCGTAATTAGGGATAATTGTATAGAAATTTTTTAGTTGCCAATTCAATGTTCATAAATGTCTATAGCATTTTTAGATGTTAAATGTGGGAAAGGTGATTTTCACAAGGAATTTTCAATGGTCCCTGGCTCTTCATTTCAACAAGGTGGCTGACTCTACCACCTGTCAGTGCTGTCCATTTGGTACTTTGTTGATATTGGTTGTAATTGTTAAATTGATATAAATAGGACTTTTAGCTATTCTTATTTATGATAAGTTCATAAACTTAAATCAGAGATTGGAAGCACCTATATGATTTAAGAGACAGAGAGAGAGAGAGAGAGAAAGAGAGAGAGAGAGGGGGTCCTTTAAATTGTTTCTGGGGTAAAAAGAAATGTCACTTTCTGGAGGTTAGAAACTGTAGTTGAGTGCTTTGCTTGAACAAAATTTACAAAACACAGCTTGGTAAGGCATTGCGTAAATATGCTACAGTGGCAATTGTCTTAGTTCAGGCTGCTATAACAAAATACCATAAACTGTGGCTTATAAACAACAGGAATTTATTTTTCACAGTTCTGGAGCCTGAAGGTATGAGATCAGGGTGCCAGCATGGTTGTGTAGGGACCTCTTCTAGGTTACAGACTGGTAACCTTTTGATGTATCCTCACATGGAGGAAAGAGAGTAAGAGAGCCTTTTATAAGGCCACTAACCCCATGCATGAAGGCTCCACCTTTATGACCTAATTTTTTCCCAAAGGCTCCACCTCCTAATAGCATCACATTGGGGGTTAGGATTTTAACCTATGAATTTTGAAGGGACATAAACATTCAGTCCATAGCAATAATACTTATTTAACATAGATGTTTTAAGAATACTCACTGAGATTTTTTTCATATTGGTGATTGAGTTTGATTAAAGGAGGAATAACCAATATTGAACTCAGGGTTGTAGGGAAAATGAAATAAGATTGTCCACATAAAATACTTATTACAGTGCCTGGCCAATAAATTATTTTAATAGGTATCAAGGTGATAGGGTTCCTTAAGAAAGAATCAATAATATTGACAAAATTAGGGACTTTTTTTGTTGTTGCTATTGTTTTTTGATGGGGTAGGGACTACTTACCTTTTCTATATTATAGCCAATATTATTTTATTGAGAATCAACACTTAGCAGCAGAACCACGTAAGTGTCAGGTGGACAAGTAACAATTCATTCAGCTTTTTAGGTGCCAGGCACTGTAATAAACATCTTATATACACATAGCCCTGAGCAGTAACTTGTATTAACCCAATTGTATAGATGAGGAAATTGAGTTGGGAAGAAACGATTAAGTGCCACAATGGGAAAGCTCTCTACAAATTGTTAAGTAAATTAAAAGACTGACCCTATCTACTAAGCTGTCCATAAAAAAAGCAAAATCCTCACCAGGGTCACTATGGGATTTGGTTCCTAAGCCCCCAGTCTTCTTTTCACTATATTGTTATTGAATTGCTCATCTAAATCCAACCCAAATTCAAATGCGTGTTGCTGGCTTGGTCAGAATCAAGGAGTCAGCTTACTTTGCTGGTGATCTTGGGATTCAGTTCATGCTGCTGAACATGTATGTGGAGTTGATTCACTCTTTTGTATCAATAAAGGCTGAAGACAAAAGGAAAATCTCACCTTTTGAACCATGAGAGAAAAAGCTCTTCCCATTCCAGAAGACCATGATATAGTTTCTTTGGATCCTGGCTGTGTTTCAAATTCAAACAAGTATTGTTCTGGTTCATGAAAAACAGAACATTCCCTGTCTCTTCCTATAGGAATGCCAAAATGGATAAAGAAACAAAGAAAGAACCTAATTTAAAAATGTTTCTATTCAGAACAAAAGAAAATCAATTAGAATAATAACTTATTATTTTTTTTTTACCAAGGGGAGAACCAAATTGTAGTAGCTTTGTTTTGACAGCTTTTTGGAGAATTGGAAAGATGTCATACCCCATTCATTCATGGTAATCAGTTGTTGAACACCAAGCAGCTTCATTTAGGAATGAACTGGAACAGTTTGGCAGGCTGAACAACTTACAAATATTAAAATATATTTTACACCTGAGTTTATTCTAGAACAACAACAACAACAAAATAAACCAGTACCAGTATTTTGAAAACTTAATATGGAAATGCCAAACCTCCAGTTGCTAACTCTTTCAGATTTCTTTTTTCTTAAGATGTGAAATTGTAAACTATTCAGTCAGCCTGTAGTTGCCCCCCTACAACTTCCTACGAATAGGAAAAATGATGCCAGAAAATCAAAATGGTTATTTCTTTCTATAACCTAGGGTGGGGAGGTGGGGAATCCTTATTTGGGAAGGGAGAGGAGAAATGCCTGATTTCCATTATGAGTTTGGTGTGACCGGAACTGTGTGCAAATATATGAAAATTTGCATCTTTCAATAGTGAAAAACTATTCGTTCATCCACGTCCACCAAGGCCAGTTTAGAACAGGAGCAATTTAGGGTAGTTGTAGCATAGAGTTTAATGCCTAAAAGAGGAGCTAAAGGTATAAAATAAATTAGTTACTAAGAGGAATTGCAATTTTCTTTTTCCTCCAAAGAATTTTAATCACCTGCTTAGCATCTATCTTGGATAACCTAGGTACTCTTCCAACCAGGGACAGGCATGTGCACTGATTGTCATGGGTCAGGAGGATGAAGGAGGAGTTCTTCTCTCCTCCCCAGCTCAGGACTTGTTTATACAGCTTATACATTTTATACTTTACACTACAAGTGAAACTTAGTTTCACTATTTCCCATTGCCCAGCAACCAGCTCACTTGCTCCTTTTGGCTTATTGTAGAAGGGCTGAAATCCCAGGACAGAGGGAGAGAAAAGGGAAGAGGACAGAGAGAGACCCAACCCTGCTTCCTCTAAGGAACCTGTGACTCATCCCTGAGTTCCCCCACCCCCAGGCAACTTCCATCAAACCACAGCCACCACCCCTCCCCCTGCCAAATGAGTTGTTAACATTTTCTTTAGTGGTGCAATCTTGTTCTGAGATTACAGGGAATGCTGAGTTTTATTAGGGTTCTTTCAACAAACTCATTTAATCGTGGCTGCCTGTTAGCCAGTGCTGAGTCACTGTCAAAGCTTCGCAGCATTCCACGACACCTAATTCTTCTTTACTTTCCCTTTTCCTTTTTCTTTTTTTAAAGTCCTCCTAATTTCCTTTTTCCTCCAACAGACTTGTCTTTGGAAAAGATTAGAAGAGCCTGTGAACTTGGCTTCCTCACTTCTGTTTCTCAGGTGAGTACCACTCCTATTTCTATTCTGCCAGTATCATTAAAGAACATTTTCCCAGATTTCTGTTGAAGAACTGCCTTTTTTTTTTTTTTTAATCTTTGTGATGCTGACACTCTTTTAGAATTAACCATGGAAAAACTTGATGACACTTCCATGTTTCTTGTAAAATTCATCTTTGGAGTAATTTTACGGTGTGTGTTTTCCCCTTGGATGTTTTAAAGAGCTGGATTTCCTTCTCTTTGCAGAGCATTCTAGCAGCTGTGTCTCATTTGCTCTGCAAGGGCATTTGAAGAAATTGCTATTTTAGAAGCTGCTTAACATATGGGATAATTGTTTTAAAGCACTTTACAGTTTGCATAGTGCTTTCTCATTATTTTACCCAGCCATTTCTCATAGAAGCCCAGGACATATTATTTACATTTTTCAGAAAAAGAAATAAAGCTACTGAAGACATCACATAACAGCAGCTTGGCAGGGCAATTAATCTTCTAAATTAATCAACAGATTAAAATCTCTTCCTTCAGATCCTTTGATACCTATGACCAGAAACCCTCCTGCCTTTTGACCTGAACAGGTAGACAGCAATACCAGCTGTGCACGGGAGTGTGTAGTCTAGCTAGTTTTAGGTCCACCCTAACAAAGAGCTGCCTCAGCGATTAGATACAAGGACACTGTTTGAAGAGATTGGACACTATTTGGCTAGTTTTATTAAAAGTGGTGTAGTGGGTGGCTAAAAGCACTGGTTTTGGAGTCAGACTTGCTGTGTGTAAATGTAAGCTCCAACTACATCAGCTGCGAGACATTCGTGAATTATTTAATGTGTCAGACTCATTTATGCTATCCATGAAATGGGAGCAATAGTTTCTACTTCATGAGATTATTGTTATGAGGCTTAATCAGACAATCCATATAAAGTTCTAAACACCATGCCAGCACTCAGTAAGTAAGGCCTTAGTAAATGTTTGCTATTGCCATGCAGTGGTTCCAAAGGTGGTCACCTGGTCAGTTTTCCTGAGGTTCATTTAAGTTGATTTGTTTCATGAAATTATACATATGGCCCAGTCCAGACTGGGGATAGTTAGTAGCCTTAAGAGGTAATTGGTGGTGTAGACAGAACTTATACTGGTGTTTCCTCTGCTTTAGAGAACTGTCATAATTATAACTTATTCTATTCTTTAAAACACAAAGCGGCAGTGTCATTCCTCCTAAATAATGCGTAATACAGACAAAGGACCCCATTCAATATGCCCGTGGTATTTCAGCTTGGCACTTTGGGAATGGTAGTACACAAAAAGGCAGAAGATGGTATGGATTTTCTTAAAGTTCAAGGTGAAAGTAAGGTACAGAAGGAATAACAGGAATCTATTTAGTTGTGAGTGGGCTTTCATTGGCACACAGAGGACTCAGTCCCATATCTGCGTGTTGCTTGCAGAGTAAACTCGGAAAAGCATTTTGCTTCTCTGTACCTTTGTTTCTCCAGTTACAAAGAGGAATTGTAATACCTGTAGGATGGCCAACTTGTCCCCTATTTGCCTGGGCCATTCCCATGGCAAATGCTGTATGTCCCAGGAACCTTCACAGTCTTGGAGAAAACTGGGATGATTGGTCACCCTAAGTACCTGCCCCTCTCATCTTACTGTATTCACCCTCCAGGCAGTAGGTACAAAGGTGCTTTGACATTTCATGAACTGAAGAATATAATCAACTCAATTCTGAACACCTAAGGTCCAAAAATAGTGCTTTGGGTTATTGGAAGGAAAGCAGAGTGATGTAGTGTTTATAGGATATTATGTCTTAAGTAAGAATATTGCAACTTATTCTTGGTGCATCATTTTATAAACTGCTTGGGAATATGTAATATGACTGGAAAATCCTATCCAAGGGTATACTGTGTTATATATCATCCTTATTAAGTGTTTACATGTATGTAATTGAAAGTACACACAAGCATATTCATATAACATTTAGGACAAGTACTTTAAGGTTATCATGAAGATAATTTGCATTGAAAAGACCTCATTTGGATCAACTTTACTTCTTGAGAAGTTATGTTTTGCACCCAACGCATATTTTGGAAGTGATTACCATTTATAATAAATTAATCAGTGATTTGTCTTAGAAAACTTCAAAGGAAAACATAATAGTCTGGGGAAGATGGCATAACTGACCATCTACTTGGTATCATAAAAATAAGTACCCACCAAGGAAAAATAGTACATTACTGGGAATTAACTTGAGGCAGCATTTCAATTAATTAATGCACACAGGAATTAGAACAGTTTCAAAAAAAACGATTCATTTAGTTTGCTTTCACATAATGTAGAGATTGTACTTGAGTGAAACTTCAAAATGTACAAGCAAGCATGCACTTGCTTGAAAAATGAAGTTTTTTTTATTGGCTTTTATTTGTGTTCTACCTAGAAGCATCTTATCAGAATCAAGCCAGTGCACACCCTATAAATGCCAAAGTGAGGCTTCTTGTAGACATGCATTGCAGAGATAAATAATGTTAATACATATGCAGTATGTATTTGTAAAAGCATAAAAACAGGCAAATTTGGTCAAACTCAGTTGCTTACTTATGTTAATAGAAGAAACGTTTATTTAAAAAGTTAGACTCATTTTTGCTCATTTATTGCATGGCTGTGAAAAGGGAACATGTAGACCTCTGTTAAGGGTTGGCAAGAGACTCGAAGACCCTGAACATGTCACACAGTCTTTCTTCATCTACCCCAGGGGACCTGCTGCAGCCCTGAGTCCATGGTACTCAGGAATATCTTATTAACGTATATTGAATGTTCTTTGTATTAATGATCATTCAAAATAACACAATAAAACCAGAGTGAAAGGGCATGGCCTACCATTCCACATTCAACTTTTCCCCAAGGAATGAACTATTTTACCTCTCAGACAGAAGCAAAGAACTCATTCAGAAGCAGAGCAGAAGGCCGTTGGAGTTATTGTTGTTTATATTCCCCTGGACAGAGGAATAATTATGTCGGCTTCAAAGGCCTTTTCTTCCACCTTCCATCTTGGCATGCTCCTGCAGGAAGAAGCCTCCATTCTATTCCTACACTTTACAAATGGAAACCCAGAAAAGGGAATATTTGTCCAAGGTCACAGATGCAAACCTTCTCAGATGTTTGCTAATCCTAATTTAATTTTCCCACACTTCGCCAAATGCAGCTGTAGGTAATCTTTTTGGGTTTGGCCCTGTTTTAGTGTAGGAAATACTCTCTTCCCTGGGCCCTCCCCACCATCCACTGTGATCAAGAGCCCATCACTCCTTAGGCAGCAATACTTTCTTCTCTTGCTTTCTAATGGCATTGTCTTTGCTGAGCCAGCACACCAGTACCTCCACTCCAAGGTCTCAAGATAAGGGCATCTTCTTGATGACCCAAAGTGCTGTCTCAATATAAGGGCCATTCCTGCATTTCTCTTTAGACCTACTGTCTTTGATACAGTGATGCATCACTCCAGGCTTGCCCTGATTTCTCTCAGCCTTCAGTGATATGAGTCAGGTCTTTGCCTTATGGTTAATTTAGCTGGTGATGAGGGCAAGCTGGAACTTGTGAGGAGAGACATACACTGCAGCAAACTGAGGTCAGAGCTTGAACAGAACCCTCGAGAAGACAGATTGCCTGTGGCAGCGAGAGCATCATTCCCCAGACAGTAGTGATGCAGACAGAAGGTAGAAAAATGACAGTCTCCTTGGAGGGGCATATGAGGGCACAAAGATTTTTCAAAACTCAGCCCCACAGAGAGGAAATCTGCTTGATGTTTATTCAGGCCCCTTCCTTTTAAATCTTGATTACCCTTGGCTCTGCTAGGCGCTGAAATTTATGCACCAGCGACAGGTGATTCTTATGTAAGAATGGAATCTTGGGTGTGATAAATTTGGTCTTGAGAAATCTCTGCTTAGTTGCTGCAGATGGCAGTGTCATGATGGCCAGAGTTAGACAGCGGTGACCTGCTGGGCTGTGGGCTGGGAAATGGCTACTCAGCTCCGAGCTGTCTGGGTCAATTCCTTGTGCCTCAAGGTCATGACCATGTGGGCACAGCCCAACTGTAGAGTTGACATTCATACTAGCAACATCCTTTCCTACTCCATTAGACAATGTTACTAGCTCACCCCAATGTCCCTCAGGAAACAAGTGGTACCCTGAGTTCTCTGCGTACAGCTTTATAATTTGGGGTCTCTATCATGACTAGTCCTGTTAAGGGTCAGTTCTATGCTTGTAAAGAATTGCTTATACTGGAGAATTTGCATCACCTGGCTTGGTTTGGCCGTGGAGCCACCTCTATGCACTCCATCCCAGTCAGGTCCATCTGTGATCTAGGATTCTTCTTCAGTGGCAACTTTCAGGTCACATATTCTTAGCCTTATTGTTGAAATTTCCAAAAAGTACACACACACACAATTGTGAACATATAGGCCTTTCTCTAGGGAGAGGGTCTACAGCTTTCATTAAATTGTTGCAGAGGTTTGAGATACAACAAATAGTAAGAGTCACTATGTAAATGAAGAAATATTCTGAAGTATCCCTTGTTTTTATTTCCAACTAGTTTCCCACATTGAATTTCAGATCGAACTTGATCAGAAATTAGCAATATAGGTTAAGATTGGGAGTCAGCTAGACCCTTAATCCTGGCTTAAACTCCTACTGTACATTTTCTGACTGTGTGAGCTTAAACATGTTGCTACTCTATGTCTCACATCCTTATTTAGAAAATTGATAAAATGGAAAAAATACCAGCTGCTTCATTATGCTATTGTGAGAATTAAATGAGGCTGTATATAAATCTTGTGATGTCCCTGGCATTTGAGAAACATGTAATAAACAGGAGCTAGTAGTGGTAGGGGTCACATGGAACTCATGTTTCTGGAGCATGTGGGCTGACACCCAATGCCACGAATCTTCTTCTTTTCTACGTTTTTGAATATTTTATCCTGCCTTTGTTTACTGAGTCGTTAGCTGCCATTCCATACTCCTCATAAGCATCAACATATTTAACCACCGCTCTTAAGAGATGCCACATTCTTATTCTTTAGCCCACTTCCTACAGGCAAAAGAATGAAAATAACTGGCATTAGACTCCTGGCACTCCATTTTACAAGTGTTACTCTCTTTTAAAATGAAAACATCCTGTTTCAATAATTTTTAGAATTCATCAAAAATCATATGTAATGTGTAGTTTACCTAGGGACACCATTTTCTTACCTTACTTTATTTGCACTAGCCCACTTCAATTCCTAGCATAGTAAATACCTCCTATAGTAGATGTTTGCTGAACGAATGAAAAAGAAACTCCTAACTTAAACTAAAAAGAAAGGATGTGGCAATGAGAGCATTAGTTGTTTTGCTAGTGATTCTCTTGTCCATTCTTCTCTCTAAAGACCACTGCAAATATGACTTATCTTGGAAACTATAAAAAAGGCTAACTTTCGGTTAGGACATTCATCAGCCTGATATTAATGTGATTTTTTTCTCTTTGGGGTTTGAGGACAACAGTATCAATCTCAGTCTTTCTTTTTAGAATCAATATTTCCATAGCAAATGTAACATAATCCTCAATGGGAAATTCCATTTTTTTTAGGCAAGAGATGACAGTTTGGTGAGATTGGCCAGGCATATTTTGAAGAGAGAATGCACTAAAAGTGAAAATGTTATGTTTATGAAACTATCATGACAGTTAAATGTGATATACTTGAAAAACATGGCAGGCAATTTCACTGTATATCCGTGAAGTCTATATATCAGCAGTATCAATAAATAGAGTTCAAGGGAATATAAAATTCCTCCCATGTATGCATTTCTGTTAGTCTACCTTATTGCCATACTCCACAGAGGTAGTCAATAAATATTTATTAGATGGATAATTATACTTATTTTATAATATAAATAACATATTATTTATATTGTGGTGGTAAGGAAAATGCAGTAGTCCTCTGTGTAATATATTTATGAACATAATATTTCTGAAGTTCAGTTAACTTATAAACCATTAAAAAAAATGCCTTCCATCTGTTTTCTATGACAAATAGAAACTTGAGAGAATATGCATAAAAGGCTTTTGACTGAGCCTTGTAGAGTGTGTGTGAATTGCCATTTAGTTTGTTAGCATTTGAGTTTTGCAATTACGTCCATTCAGATAGAACAATCCTTTAGGAGCCTCCAACAGTCTTGTGGCTATGCACCCGTCCCTCTTTCTCCCAATCTTGCCTTTCATAAAAGGAATAAACAAGCAAAATCGGGATGACATTGGCCTGCCTGATCAGGCCCGTGAGCCCAAGTGAGGGCAGCAGCATGTGCTGCAAGAAGTCTCAAGAGCCTGTTGTCCCAGTGGGAGGACTCACCTGGGAAGTTAGGGAGGAGAGATAGTGGGTGGTTAGGACAGAGCTGCCTACAGCTGCCTGCTTCTTCATGAGGTGTCATTGAACCTGGGCATTGGAATCCAGAAGAAAGTGGTCATGTGAGAGAACCAGAGAAATAGGGAGGTCACGATAGCAAAAGGACATGAAACAAAGAGGTTATCCCCCAAAGGAACAGTGGCAATATTCTTTCCTTTATTGCTTTTCAAAGCCTGTACTCACCTTTGGTTACTCAGTACTGTACTTCAGATGTGTTACTGTATCCCTGCATATGCTGCCCCTTGATCCTCCTTGTTTTGCAAGGAGTAATATATTCTAGTAGTTTATCTCACTGCAGGATGACTATAGTTAACCATAATATATTATATAGTTTCAAATAGCTAGAAAGAGAATGTTGAACATTCCTGACACAAAGAACTGATAAATGTTTGAGATGATAAATACATGAAATTACCCTAATCTGATTGCTGTACATTATATGTATCAAAAAAATCACTGTGTATCTCTAGAATATGTACAATTATTATTTGTCAATTAAAAAATAAAATTAAAAAAACATATATAAGCAAACAAACATGACCTTGGTTCTTATGTGGCTATTTCTACGTTAGGGAAAGAGAAAAAGTAATCAGCGTTTATTGGACACCTACAGGTGCCAGGTAACTTTACTTGCTCTTTGACTCAACATGTTTTAGATGGAAAACACTGAGTCTGAGGAAGTTAAGTAACTTATCCAGAGCAGACGCTGAGGTGGCAGGGCAGGGTTTGAGACCCTCGGCTCTCTAGCTTTGCATTTCCCTGTGATAACTCCTCAGGACAGAAAGAAAGAGCATGAATAAAAGCACATGCTTGGTGACAAGGACTATTCTGTTTGGGGATTTATGCCCTGCTTCCATGCACTCCTTCTGCGTGCAAGGCCAACACACAGATCCGCTCGTTTACATCTCCACATACGTGAGCCTAAATGAGCCTGTCCCATCTTTCCTACGGATCCAGACACAAGCGTCCTATTTTACAGATCAGGGTCTGTGACTGCACGTCTGGCATCTGGCAGGGCAGGGCGGCAGTGAAAGGAGAGAAGGTAGACAAAGGATGGAATTATCAGCGCCAGATCAAAGGGCTGTGTGTGGCCAAATCCCGGAGCACCTTGGTTTTCCTCTTAACCCATCTTGATGTTCAAAAGTAGCTATACTCGAGCTTGAGTTTATTCTAAGACAGTATTGTAACTCATTTGTGGGTCCTTCTTCAGGTAGTTCTATTTAGTGTTTAGGTTCCTGTGCTTCTATCTTGACAGTGTCTGAACTGGCTTTCCTCCTCACCCTCTAGCCTGCCACTCTTCCCTGCTGAGCTTGAATCCCCGGGTGAAAAATGTTACATTGAATGCCAAGTGCAAGGCAGTGGCTCTGTCTGTGAAAGCTAAGTGAAACAAAAGCTTGTTACTTTCTTGTACTTGTTAAAATGTTCTGAAAGACCTTATGTGTTGGTGCCAAGGTCAGGGAGGTCAGCCCACACTTGAGCACAGGCATTTGAGTCTGTCAAATGACTCAGTCAAATGGGAATGTTGGGGGGTTTTGCCTGATATGTGTCAATATCACTATGCATAAAAGATGTCAGTTTGCTATATCAGAGTTTGCTGTCACACTCAACCATCAGTTTAAAGAGTGACTAATGCCCTAGTACATTTGTTTTTATAAGAAGTTCCTTGCTACGGGACAGATGAATTTTGATGAAGATTCTTTGGTCTCCTCTTTCCTTTCCTCCTCTCTCCCTATTCATCCTTTGTGCCTCTTCAGTGCTTGTACGAGAGTGGGACGCTCTCCCCCTGCCCAGGGACAATGCCAGCACACATGCAATTACCTGTGCACCATCTGCCTCCCCCAGCAGAGTGGAAATTTCATACAGACCTGTTTTCTCACTCAAATATAATTCCTCTGCATCACTGGTGCCAAGTACAATGGTTGGCACAAACTATACATTCAATAAATAATTGTTGAATGGATGCAAGATAGACTTAATAAAAGAAGCACATTAATTTATTTTGCTGCATGTTTGGCTTTGCTGAAACATTTAGATTTTTTCTTTTAGTATTATGCATTCATGCTACGTCTCTCTTTTCCTCAGTCAATATTTATTTAGTGTCTTTAATGTGCCAGGCACTGAACTATATGCCAAGATGAGTGAGACATGGTCCCTTTTCCCCTGGAAGGTTGAGAGTGGGTCGTTCTAATCATGTTCATTCTGAGTCAGTCAGCCATAGTCAGTGAATTACCAACCACTGTGGGAAGTGGCTCTTTGTAGGAGGATGCAGAGGAAGAAGATGTTCCCCCCATTCTAGAGGCTCTCACAGCTCATAGGATAGTGAACAAATAAATGCATGAAATACATAATAACATAATATATGCCTAGCAAAAGGAAATAATGAGGTATAGTGGAGATGACTTGGGATACTTGTAGAGGTAAAACAATGAGTGTTTTTACCTCATATGAAACATCCTTGATTTGTGCAACTAGTATGTCATTTTTTTTCATACTTCTGTATGCCCAACACTATGCAAGGGATGGGCACATGCCAGTGAACAAGGGATGTGTGAGACCTGTTTCTAAGCAGGTACAGGCCAAGGCACAGGTGTCTGACTCAGAGTCGAAAATGAGAGTGAGTATGAGTGATAGCTGTGACAGTGAGAGAGCAGAAAGGAAGGAAAGGGATGGTAGGAAAGAGACAGAGCACATCTAAAGGCTCTTGGTCAGTCCCCTGCTCTAGGTCTAAAGAATTCCAAAGATGGTGGAATGTTAACTTTTCCACTTAGAAACTTTTTCAAGAAAGAGCTCGATATTATTAAAGTGACAGAACATGGGTGTCTTAGTCTGTTTTGTGCTGCTGTGACAGAAAACCATAGACTGGGTAATTTATAAAGAATAGAAATTTATTTCTCACAGTTCTGGAGGCTGGCAAGTCCAAGATCAAGGTGCTGGCAGGTTCCATAGTCTGGTGAGGGCTGCATCCTCCAGAGGAGAGGAACACTGTGTCCTCACATGGCAGAACAATGTGTGAAGCCTCTTTTATAAGGACCTTAATCCCATTTATGCGGAGGACACCACATGGCCTAGTCACCTCTTAAAGGCCCTACCTCTTAATATTATCACTGGGCAACACCAGAGTTTTAGGATGAACACATTCAAATCAGAGCAGTGAGTTTAGTAGAATTACGACAAATGTCTAAATAACTTTAGCAATCTAGCATATTCCCAGTTGACTTATTTAACTGTGACTTAATATTTTCAATGAATTTTGGGTGTACCCCACTATGTCTACCATCTGTACTCTACCAACCTTTTTGTTTAATAAAGTCTTTTCCCACTTTTTACAGTAGCAAGAAGCATCAGATTTTATGTTCATTTAGTGTATATTTGGTACTTATTAGGGGCATATTTCTAGTGATGAATCCTTAGGAATTCATCAGCTTCAAATCATTGACCATGTGTTGGTATCAATAATCTAGGCCTTCCTTTATAAGATATATTTCAAGGTGTCTCTGGAAGATTCTGTACACTGCAGCTTTGATAAAATGTCTCATAATGATGCTTGTGATTTGGTTTTCATTTCTAAAGAAGGTATGGAGCACAGTTAAATAACATAGAAACTCTAGAATTAAAACAATTTGAAATTTTCGAAAGCATGGCCCTCTTGAATAGTCCTAATTCACTACTGTGCCTCATTAGGCTTACTGAGGAAGAAAAGACAGGACTCAAAGGACAATTACCTATCATACTATGGCAAAAAGAAGAGAGTTTTCTCTTAAATATTGACCAAATGCTTAATTTTCCTTGGACACAAAGCTAGGCACTTTGACATGTATCATTTCATTCAATTATTCCACTAACCTTGTAAAAGAGATCTCATTATTATTCTGATTATATAGATAAGGATATTGGAGCTCTGAGTGACTGAGGAAGTCCCCTAAGACCATACACTCAATAAATAGGATGAAGAAAATTTAAATCCAGATTTATCGACTCCAAAGTCCTTTCCTTTGGTAGAAATCTCTCTCAGAGTATTCTTACTATGACTTAGAGTCTTTTCTTGGTGACTCTGAGAAATTATTCTCTATCTGAAGACTAAAGGAGAAGTTCATTGGGTTTTGGATTTTACCTTCTAAAAACCTTTGAGATTTATTGGGTGATACTGTCATTTGTCATTTTTTTTGTCCTACTGCACTTAAAATATGCTAGAGAGCCTCTCTTCAACTCAGCCACCTGTGGTCTTGGCTTTTAATTTCCATGAAAATGGCTGGACACAGTTTTCTTATTCCATCCACACCCAAGGCCAGAGGAGACATTTTATTGGCATTTTTCAATAATCTTTCCCTATTTTGAGTATCTGTTCTCAATTTTCATACTACCTTCTCTTTCTTGTGCATGTGAGAAAGGCGGATACATTTGTTATAATTATTTTATCATGTTAATATATTTATTCCATAATAATTATGACACATATGTATTAAAAGTAAAAATTGCATTTTTTAATCATTTAGAACCAATGCTCAAAGAATGTCCTTACTAGTTGGTTTTAGCAATTTAAGTATATAAGGAGCAGGGGCAAATTTCTCAATTTGGAAGGTGTCCAGATGATAGCTCAGGAACCCAAAGACAGCTCAAACCAAGTTTGAGTAATCCATTGTATATGGCTTATATACAGGCCTACCTAAAGTCAGAGAATTGGATTAGTTATGGGCATAGAATTTTACAACTTAAAGGCGCATTTAAGATCCAACCACTACCTTGTAGAGAAGGAAATTAAATTCTGGAAAGGTTGTGATTTTGCCTAAAGTCAAACAGGAAGTCAGAACAAAATGTAAACTAGTGATTCTCAAACTTTTATCAATAGATAAAAAGGAGATTAATCCCTTATCAGAAATATGGTTTGCAGATATTTCCTTCCATCAATAGGCTGTCTTTTCATTTGGTTGATTGTTTCCTTTGCTACGAAGATGCGTTTTAGTTTGATGCAATCCCACTTGTTTATTTTTACTTTTAAGGCTCGTGTCTTTGATGTCATATTCAAAATATCGTTGCCAAAGACCAATGTCAAGAAGCTTTTTTCCTGTGCTTTTTCTAGTAGTTTTATAGTTTTAGGTCTTAATTTTAAGTCTTTAATCCATTTGGAGTTGATTTTTATATATGGTGTGAGATACTTGTCCAACTTCATTCTTATGCATGTGGATACGCAGTTTCCCCAGCACCATTTACTAAAGAAATTATTTTTCCCTATTGTGTGTTCTTTGACCCTTGTCAAACATCCATTGACCATGAATGCATGGATTTCTTTCTGGGCTCACTATAATGTTCCATATGTCTGTGTTTTTATCACAGTACAATACTGTTTTAGTTATTATAGCTTTATATTTTTTAATTGGGAGGTTTGATGCCTTCTGCTTTATTCTTCATTCTTCTTGCTCAAGATTGCTTTGGCATAAGCAATCTTAAGCAAAAAGAA